TTAAAAACCCGCAGAGGCCCCCCCTCTCCCCCCCTCTCTCCTCCCCTCTCCTCCCCCTCTCCTCCCCTCTCCTCCCCCCCTCTCCTCCCCCCTCCCCCCCTCCCCCCTCTCCCCCCCTCTCCTCCCCTCTCCTCCCCCTCTCCTCCCCCTCTCCTCCCCCCTCCTCCCCCCTCTCCCCCTCCTCTCCTCAGCTCTTGAGTGAATGATCCGGCGCTCGTTGACTTTGCACCTGTATGATCCTGCATGCGGCGGCTGAATTTGGGCGCGTCTCAAATCCGGCCCTTGGCATTGACGGTCATGCCCCGGCTCCTGAGGCTCCTCGGGCTCCTCGGGCTCCTCGGGCTCCTCGGGCTCCTCGGGCTCCTCGGGCTCCTCGGGCGCCTCGGGCTCCAGGGGTTCCGGGGTTTGGGAGATAATGAGTTTTGCCGCCGCCATTAAGATTCACATTAACTGTTTGGGCACACGCAGCCTTTGTCCCGGATCAAAAGAACGATCCCAGACGACGTGAATAGCGGGGGAGACCAGGAGGAGAGCAGGAGGAGACCAGGAAAGGACCAGGAGGAGACTGGGTGAGAGTGTGTACAGAGTATGTTCTGGGATCTTTGTGATATTCTAATTCAGATTGATTTTCTAATCTGTCTTGGCGAGATAGACTCTTGTTGTGATTTAGGGCGACACAAAAATACATTGAACTGAATTGAAAAGAGAGACCAGAGAGAGACCAGAGAGAGACCTGAGAGAGACCAGAGAGACCAGAGAGAGACCAGAGAGAGACCAGAGAGAGACCAGAGAGAGACCAGTGAGAGAGACCAGAGAGAGACCAGAGAGAGACCAGTGAGAGAGACCAGAGAGAGACCAGAGAGAGACCAGAGAGAGACCAGAGAGAGACCAGAGTGAGACCAGAGAGAGACCAGAGAGAGACCAGAGAGAGACCAGAGAGAGACCAGAGAGAGACCAGAGAGAGACCAAAGAGAGAGAGACCGGAGAGAGACCGGAGAGAGAGACCAGAGAGAGACCAGAGAGAGACCAGAGAGAGACCAGAGAGAGACCAGAGAGAGACCAAAGAGAGAGAGACCTTAATTGATGTCCTTAATTTTCTTATTGACAAAATATGGCTAAACTTGAACTGAGCTAAAATTCTTTATGGAAACCTGTTGCAATACACACACACACACACACTAACACACACACACACACACACACGCACGCACGCACGCACACACACACACACACACACACACACACACACACACACACACACACACACACACACACACACACACACACACACACACACACACACACACACGCTGCACTAACCTCACAGTGACACAAATGCAAAGAGAGAGGCAGCAACACAACATTAGAATAAAACAGAGTATTTCGCTCTGCCCTGCGCCGACCAAACGCCGGTATTTTCAGGGGGAGAACATCAAACCATCACCTCCCTCTCTCACCCCTCTCTCTCCCCCCTCCTCTCCTCAGCTCTTGAGTGAATGATCCGGCGCTCGTTGACTTTGCACCTGTATGATCCTGCATGCGGCGGCTGAATTTGGGCGCGTCTCAAATCCGGCCCTTGGCATTGACGGTCATGCCCCGGCTCCTGAGGCTCCTCGGGCTCCTCGGGCTCCTCGGGCTCCTCGGGCTCCTCGGGCTCCTCGGGCTCCTCGGGCGCCTCGGGCTCCAGGGGTTCCGGGGTTTGGGAGATAATGAGTTTTGCCGCCGCCATTAAGATTCACATTAACTGTTTGGGCACACGCAGCCTTTGTCCCGGATCAAAAGAACGATCCCAGACGACGTGAATAGCGGGGGAGACCAGGAGGAGAGCAGGAGGAGACCAGGAAAGGACCAGGAGGAGACTGGGTGAGAGTGTGTACAGAGTATGTTCTGGGATCTTTGTGATATTCTAATTCAGATTGATTTTCTAATCTGTCTTGGCGAGATAGACTCTTGTTGTGATTTAGGGCGACACAAAAATACATTGAACTGAATTGAAAAGAGAGACCAGAGAGAGACCAGAGAGAGACCTGAGAGAGACCAGAGAGACCAGAGAGAGACCAGAGAGAGACCAGAGAGAGACCAGAGAGAGACCAGTGAGAGAGACCAGAGAGAGACCAGAGAGAGACCAGTGAGAGAGACCAGAGAGAGACCAGAGAGAGACCAGAGAGAGACCAGAGAGAGACCAGAGAGAGACCAGAGTGAGACCAGAGAGAGACCAGAGAGAGACCAGAGAGAGACCAGAGAGAGACCAGAGAGAGACCAGAGAGAGACCAAAGAGAGAGAGACCGGAGAGAGACCGGAGAGAGACCAGAGAGAGACCAGAGAGAGACCAGAGAGAGACCAGAGAGAGACCAGAGAGAGACCAAAGAGAGAGAGACCTTAATTGATGTCCTTAATTTTCTTATTGACAAAATATGGCTAAACTTGAACTGAGCTAAAATTCTTTATGGAAACCTGTTGCAATACACACACACACACACACTAACACACACACACACACACACGCACGCACGCACGCACGCACGCACGCACGCACGCACACACACACACACACACACACACACACACACACACACACACACACACACACACACACACACACACACACACACACACACACACACGCTGCACTAACCTCACAGTGACACAAATGCAAAGAGAGAGGCAGCAACACAACATTAGAATAAATCAGAGTATTTCGCTCTGCCCTGCGCCGACCAAACGCCGGTATTTCAGGGGGAGAACATCAAACCATCACCTCCCTCTCTCACCCCTCTCTCACCCCACCCTCCCCCCTCTCCCTCCCCCTCCCTCCCCCGCCAGAACTGCCGCAGAAAATGGCCTTGTGACCAGTGCTGTGCCCAGACACGACCAAAGAGGCTGTCTATATGCAAAGATACAGTGAGGCGTGGACCACTTGTTGAAACGCGACGCTCCACTTAACATTCATAGAACAAACCCAGGGCTGAGAGGCACGGCAGCCCCGGAATTACACCCAGATGGAGACGGAGACCGGCTGGACCCACACACAAAGGCACAGACGCACAATCAAGAGGTCTCTGTGAGCTGACAGCAGGTTTCTGTCTCAAAACCAGGACTGAGCCGGATCTGAGTGTGTGTGAGGCCAGAGCTGGTTCAGACCTGGGGTAGACCTGCTTTAGTCCTGGTTTAGTCCTGATCTCAGATCTCTCCTTCTGTGGCTCAGAGAATAGAATTTAAAACACCAAAATTCATGTGTGAAATGTTAGTGAACCAACCCTTAGCACAGGGACTGGCCCCTGCTGGGACTCTGAGGAGCACAGGGACTGGCCTCCTGCTGGGACTCTGAGGAGCACAGGGACTGGCCCCTGCTGGGACTCTGAGGAGCACAGGGACTGGCCTCCTGCTGGGAATCTGAGGAGCACAGGGACTGGCCCCTGCTGGGACTCTGAGGAGCACAGGGACTGGCCTCCTGCTGGGACTCTGAGGAGCACAGGGACTGGCCCCTTCTGGGACTCTGAGGAGCACAGGGAAAAAACTGATCCAAACATGTTTGTGAATACTCTTGGAATGAATGACACAGATTTTGTTACATTTATGTGGTTTGAATGTTACACTTCTCAGCTTTAAGTACATCGCAATTGACCTTGGACAGTCTGGTCCAGTCCAGTCCCGGTTCTGACCTGGTTCAGTCCAATAACTCACAATAAACAAGTCTGAATGCATTTCTATAAAACTTAAATCCAACTTGCTACTCTCTCTCTCCTCTTCTCTCTCTCTCTCCTCTTCTCTCTCTCCTCTTCTCTCGCTCTCTCTCCTCTCTCTCCTCTTCTCTCTCTCTCTCCTCTTCTCTCTCTCCTCTTCTCTCGCTCTCTCTCCTCTCTCTCCTCTTCTCTCTCTCTCTCCTCTTCTCTCTCTCCTCTTCTCTCGCTCTCTCTCCTCTCTCTCCTCTTCTCTCTCTCTTCTCTCTCTCCTCTTTCTCTCTCTCTCCTCTTCCTCTCTCCTCTTCTTCTCTCTCTCCCATTCCTCTCTCTCTCCTCTTCAATTCTCTCTCCTCTTCCTCGCTTTCTCCTCTTCCTCTCTCGCTCCTCTTCCTCTCTCTCTCCTCTTCCTCTCTCTCTCCTCTCTCCCTCTCTTCCTCTTCCTCCACTCTCTCCTCTTCTTCTCTCTCTCCTCTTCCTTTCTCTGTCTCCTGTCTTTCTCTTCCTCTCCCTCCCCTCTTTATCTTTCTCCTCTCTCTATCTTCCTCTCCCTCTCCTCTATCCTCTTCCTCTCTCCTCCTCCTCTCACTCTCCTCTTCCTCTCTCTCCCATTCATTTCTCTCATCTTCCTCTCTCTCTTCTCTTCCTCTTTCTCTCCTCTTCCTCTCTCTCCTCTTCCTCTCGGACACCTGCAGGCTGAAGGGGCCTGATAGTTGGCCTTCCCCAGTGACAGTGCACTCTGGCTGGGATGGGAGAGAGAGACACCTACCCCCCTCTCCCTTCTCCCCCCTCTGGCTCCTCTCCCTGACGTCTCCATCGAGTCTCAAGCAGCGGGAGGCGCAGAGAAGATTGGAGCATTTCTTTTCTTTTCCAGGAGCGAGCGAGATGAGATGAAGTCTGCGGAAAACAAAAGAGGACTGGTGCAATCGAAAATAAAACAAAGCGGCTGAAAAACACGGCTTTTGTAACTTATTCATAGTTTTCGCAGAAATGGAAGCAGCAAAAGAGATAGAGACAAACATTCACTGGAGGAAGTTACCGGAGGATCGGAGGCGACAGAGGAGGCGGCAGTTTCATCATCCCACACCAGGAAGACGAGAAAACCATCAAGTACCAGAGAAAATAATGCACTCTGGACTTTTAAGCTATCTGTGAACAAGATCAAAGCTGTCCTCATTTATAAGTGCATATAGTGGACCAGAGACCGGAAAGACCAAAGCGAGACCAGAGAGGGACCAGAGAGAGAGACCAGAGAGAAACCAGAGAGAGACAAGAGAGACCAGAGAGAGACCAAAGAGAGACCAAAGAGAGACCAGAGAGAGACCAGAGAGAGACCAGAGAGAGACCAGAGAGAGACCAGAGAGAGGCCAGAGAGAGACCAGAGAGAGACCAGAGAGACCAGAGAGAGCCCAGAGAGACCAGAGAGAGACCAGAGAGAGACCAGAGAGAGAACAGAGAGAGACCAGAGAGAGACCAGAGAGAGAGACCATGAGACCAGAGAGAGACTAGAGAGAGCGACTAGACTAGGGAGAGAGACCACAGATAGAGACCAGAGAGAAACCAGAGAGAGGGACCAGAGCGATCAACCAGAGAGTAACCAGAGAGAGACCAGAAAGAGACCAGAGAGAGACAAGAGGGAGAGACAAGAGGGAGAAGAGGGAGAGACCAGAATTAATAGGGTTAGGCCTGATCGGAGAAGACAGAGGAGGCGGCAGTTTCATCATCCCGCACCAGGAAGACGAGAAAACCATCAAGTACCAGAGAAAATAATGCACTCTTTTAAGCTATCTGTGAACAAGATCAAAGCTGTTCTCATTTATAAGTGCATATAGTGGACCAGAGAGAGACCAGAGAGAGGCCAGAGAGAGACCAGAGAGAGACCAGAGAGAGACCAGAGAGAGACCAGAGAGAGACCAGAGAGAGACCAGAGAGACCAGAGAGAGACCAGAGAGAGACCAGAGAGACTAGAGAGAGACCAGAGAGAGACCAGAGAGAGACCAGAGAGAGACCAGAGAGACTAGAGAGAGACCAGAGAGAGACCAAAGAGAGACCAGAGAGAGACCAGAGAGAGAGAGACCAGAGAGACCAGAGAGACCAGAGAGTGACCAGAGAGAGAGACCAGAGAGTGACCAGAGAGAGACCAGAGAGTGACCAGAGAGAGACCAGAGAGAGACCAAAGAGAGACCAGAGAGAGACCAGAGAGAGAGAGACCAGAGAGAGACAAGAGAGACCAGAGAGAGACCAAAGAGAGACCAGAGAGAGACCAGAGAGAGACCAGAGAGAGACCAAAGAGAGACCAGAGAGAGACCAGAGAGGGACCAGAGAGAGAGACCAGAGAGAGACCAGAGAGACCAGAGAGAGACCAGAGAGACCAGAGAGACCAGAGAGGGACGAGAGAGAGACCAGAGAGAGACCAGAGAGACCAGAGAGGGACGAGAGAGAGACCAGAGAGAGACCAGAGAGACCAGAGAGACCAGAGAGGGACGAGAGAGAGACCAGAGAGAGACCAGAGAGAAGCCAGAGAGAGGCTAGAGTCCAGGGAGGGAATAGAGAGAGGCCGGAGAGAGACCACAGAGACCACTGAGGGACCAGAGCAAGACTAAAGAAAGATCAGGGAAGCTTAGTTTAACATGTTTCAAAAAGAAATGAGGATGAGAACATGTAAAATGGGGGGAAAACCTTCAGCTCTGGTCCTGAAGAGAAACAACATCTGGTGCTGGTCCCTGCTCCTGAAGGTGACACCAGCAGCACCGAGGGAGGGGCCAAACAAAGAGGAAACAAAACCATCAAGCTAATGTTGTTTTAAAACAGTCACATGAGGGACAAGAGAGAGAGACCAGAGAGAGACCAGAGAGAGACTAAAGAGAGAGACTGAACCGAGTGACCAGAGAGTGAGAGACCAAAGAAAAACCAGAGAGAGAGTCCAGAGAGAGAACAGTGGGAGACTAGAGAGAGAGACTGAACCAAGTGACCAGAGAGTGAGAGACCAGAGAGAGAGAACAGAGGGAGACCAGAGAGAGACTAGGGAGAGAGACTAGAGAAAGGGACAGACCAGAGTGACCAGAGAGAGATCTTAGAGATTCTAGTGTCTTCTGAGGCTTCCTTTCACAGAGGCGTATATTCAGGGACATGCACAGCCCTCGGTCTGCAGAGTCCGAGGGTGAGGAGAAGTGAGGAGGGGGTGAGGGGGGAGCAGGGGGAGGCAGTGTTCTCGCGGTGGTTTACGAGCTGCACATCTGATCTGTCTTCAGCGGAGCGTGTTCTTCTGGCATGTGCACACAGGCTTCACACCAGCCACAGATAAACAACAGGAGGGGAGGAGGGGGGAGGAGGGGGGAGGAGGGGGGAGGGAGGAGGCAGATAAACACGAGAAAGAGGGGGTTTGTCACTGCTGCTAATAATACTTTAAAGAACCAATACACACCAGACTGAAATGTGAAGCCATGACGTGGTACATTAACTTCACACCATTCAGAAACTGTTAACAGAGTTCTACCATACAGTAAGACGGTTTCAGACCAGACAGAGACCTGAGAGAGACCAGAGAGAGACCAGAGAGAGACCAGAGAGAGACCAGAGAGAGACCAGAGAGAGACCAGAGAGAGAGCTTATGCCGCTTTTCCACAGTATCAGTACGGTACAGTACAGTACGCTTCAGCACGGTTATTTTGTGTTTCCACTAGTGGATAGTATGGGAGATTTGAGTGCTTCTCCGTACTGCCTCAGCCGTGGTTCCATCCCCATAGTACCGCTGCCATGACGTGAGGTCGGCCCACTGCCTTACACTGATTGGTCAACGAGTGTCGTCACTGGAAGCGACGTCTGACCCTTTGGGAAAAACGACTCAACCGCCATCTTTAAAACGGGCTGCTCTGCTCGGCTCTGCTTCGGCTACATTACGTCCTCCTCACTCCAGAGAAATGGAATCGCACAGAAAGCCCCAAAAGTCCTGGTCCTGGTCGGTGGACAGGGTCCACACGTTCCTCTCTTCAGGCCAAAGAAAGAATTCAAAGGCAGCTCGAGGCTCAACACAGTTTTCTGGGAGATCACCCAGCTCTGGATTTGTGACTAGTCTGTGGTAATCCTGGAAATAACTGGTTAGCTACAAATCCCGTTGGCCCAAAGCTCTCACTGAAATGTATTTACTCGTGTAAATGTTTGATTGTCTGTTGTACACAGTGAGCTAGCTACATTTAGCAAGCCGTGCCGTGCCACGCCGTTTAGAGTCGATACGAAGCGTACCGTTACTGTGAAAAAGCGGCAAAAGAGAGACTAGAGAGATACCAGCGAGGAACTAGAGAGAGACTAGAGACTAGAGGGAAAGACTAGAGAGAGACTAGAGAGAGACCAGACTAGAAAGAGAAACTAGAGAGAGCGAGAGAGAGACCGACCAGACTACAGAGAGATTGAAGAGAACCCAGAGAGATACCAGAGGAAGACCAGAGAGAGTCCAAAGCCAGAGACTAGAGAGAAAGCGATTCAAGAGAGACTCGATAGACCAGAAAGAGAAAGGACCACACTCACTCAGCCAATCAGTCCTGAGCCCAAAGAGTCAAAAAGTGACTCCCAGGGATCTCACACTCTCTGTGAACGTAACATTATTCAAACATTGTTACCAGGAGATGTGGTGGTGTAAAGCAGAGGGGTGAGGGGTGAATGCGGGGGAGGAGGTGGGGGTGAGGAAAGGAGGGAGGGAGGGGGGTGAGGCTATAAATTTACCCGGGCTGTGAGGTTGACGGTGGGGGACAGGACCCACCTTGACCCGGGCCCCAGGGGAGAGGTCCTGGTCGTCCCGGTGCATAAACAGCCTGTGGTCCAAGCACGCTGTGACCTGTGACCCCGGTGCATTCAGAATATTTATATTGATCTGAAAAGAGAAACTGAGACGAAATCACTATGACGACGGTGAGAGAGAGAAGGACGAGAGAAACCATACACTCACATATGAGACCTGTGTCTCTCTTTGTCTATATGTACCTGTGTCTCTCTGTGTCTGTATGTACCTGTGTCTCTCTGTGTCTATATATGTGTCTTTCTGTGTCTATATGTACCTGTGTCTATATGTACCTGTGTCTCTGTGTTTCTATGTACCTGTGTCTCTGTGTTTCTATGTACCTGTGTCTTTCTGTGTCTATATGTACCTGTGTCTCTGAGTCTATATGTACCTGTGTCTATCTGTGTCTGTATGTACAGTACCTGTGTCTCTCTGTGTCTATATGTACCTGTGTCTCTGTGTCTATATGTACCTGTGTATCTCTGTGTCTCTATGTACCTGTGTCTCTGTGTCTATATGTACCTGTGTCTCCATGTGTCTATATATACCTCTGTCTCTCTGAGTCTATGTACCTGTGTCTCTGTGTCTCTATGTACCTGTGTCTCTGTGTTTCTATGTACCTGTGTCTCTCTGTGTCTATATGTACCTGTGTCTCTGTGTCTATATGTACCTGTGTCTCTGTGTCTATATGTACCTGTGTCTCTGTGTCTATATGTACCTGTGTCTACATGTACCTGTGCCTATCTGTGTCTCTATGTACCTGTGTCTCTCAGTCTCTTTGTACCTGTGTCTCTTTGTGTCTCTCTGTACCTGTGTCTATATGTACCGGTGTCTCTCTGTCTCTATGTACCTGTGTCTACATGTACCTGTGCCTATCTGTGTCTTTATGTACCTGTGTACCTGTGTCTCTATGTACCTGTGTACCTGTGTCTATTAAGCTAGCCTCACTGTTAGCTACAGTCTGATGTGTAGACAGTGTTAAACCATGTGTGTTCTTGGACATGTTCTGTTCCTGGTAAATATATAAAAACAGAACCATGTGCAGTAGGTCAGGGGCCTCCTGCACGACCTGCAGAGCCTGGAGCCTGGAGCCCAGAGGCCCCAAAAACACACCTGTAAAGCACTATGTGACTGTGGTCTGTGAAAGGCGCTATACAAATAAGATGACTAACTTACTCATGTACCTATGCTCGCTCCCACTTGTTGCTGTACCTGTGCTCGCTCCCACTTGTTGCTGTACCTGTGCTCGCTCCCACTTGTTGCTGTACCTGTGCTCGCTCCCACTTGTTGCTGTACCTGTGCTCGC